AATTAACAGAAATATCATCATCATCACAAGGTCGTCAGTCCTAAGACTGGTTGGACACGCACCTCCACTCATTCCTATCCTGAGCTAATCTTCGCATTTCTCTGAAGTTAGAACATCTTATATCCTTAACTATTTGCGAACAGTTATCTAATCTAGGTCTACCTCCACCTCTCCCGTTTCTGCCTCTCATATGTCTCTGACTAGGCCTTCATGCTTGAAAAGGTGTCCTACCAACCTATCTCGCCTATTTATTATTGCCTTCCATAATCCTTTGTTCCCCTATTCTTTTTAAATACCTCTTCACTTCTAACCTTCTCTATCCACGGTATCCTCATCATTCGCCTGTAACACCAAATTTCGTACGCTTCTACCTTTTTTCACAATTGCACAATTCCTGCCCGGCAAAATCACTAACCACTTAACTATCAAGACCAGAAACGTTTTTCAAGAAAAACGAACGTAATGGTTTGTACATTTGAGCATTGGGTCTTAAGAATTGCAATGTAGTGTATACCTATCTGCTCTTGGGGTGTGTAAATAAGAATGGTATAAATAGAGACTTTCCATTTATTTGTCCATTTTTAGCATGCAACTTCATGTACGTACTTAGGGACCAGTTGGCGTACCATTCAAAAACAATTAAAACTACAAAAATATACGATTCGTAACCAACAGAAAATGCCAAAAGTTATTTTAAACGTGTTAATTTTCGAAATACATATGTTTATTTCTCCAAGTCAATATTTATATAGTTAGATATAGTTTACAAAATGTTATTAATTGAATGATCATAGGTATAGGTAACATATTGCTTAATTTTTCTGGCAATCGTATTAATTTTTTTGGCTTTGAAGCACTGATGTTCATTTATTATATGATTGGCAGTTTAGATTTTTAACAGCTCCGTGGCCTCAATTAAATGACTCTAATTATTGAAAGATGTTGACGGTTTTTTACAATATTAATGCGACAAATTGTTATTAGTCAACTTTCATTTCTGTCTGGGAAAACAACCTAGACAATTTACAAAATTTGGTTCGTGTTTATTGTCAGACGAATCACACCTGTTTGACTATTATAATTTTATCCATTACCTTTACTTGCCAAATCCGATTGTTTAAAGATAATCCTGGATGGCATAACAAAATAAAGTAATTTCTAAATTGTTTCATCATTATTACACATACTTATTTAAAAGAACAATAAAAATTTTTTACNTTTTCTATTTTACTATAAAAATTCTTTTTAGATTTGTAGAACTTACTTTAAACTAGGTTTACATACATCAGCATCTATGTGGACATAAAATACCGGTACACTAAACTGTGCATGCAGATGCTCAAAATAAAGTAATTTCTAAATTGTTTCATCATTATTACACATACTTATTTAAAAGAACAATAAAAATTTTTTACTAAGCAACAAATTGTTATTCTCATCCGACACTGGCAATATTATTTTTGTAAAATGTTTGCATACTTATTGAGTTTTATTTTAAATTAACATTTTTAGGCGATACCTATGCTATGTCTTTAAATTAAACAACGAGGCCATCTAGATTATACTGCGTAATCCTATTTTGACGCTTCAGATGCATTCAAGGATCTTAATTTACTAATAAAATGATAATTCTTGATTAATTCAAAATATAGCAACAGAAATGTTTTAAGGATTTACGACAGAAGTCCATTTTTTATTTTTAATTATACCGTCGAAATTTAGATATTAGGAAAAAGTTGTTAAACGTTAGAAGCGTTTGAAATGTGGTGATACAGGCGAATGATGAGGATACCGTGGATAGAAAAGGTTAGAAATGAAGAGGTATTAGAAAGAATAGGAGAACAGAGGACTGTGGAAGTAAGAAATAGGCGAGATAGGTTGGTAGGACACCTTCTCAGGCATGAAGGTCTATTCAAAGACATATTAGAGGCAGAAACGGGAGTTAGGAGGAGTAGAGGTAGGCCTAGATTAGATTACTGTTCGCAAATAGTTAAGGATGTGGGTTGTTCTAGTTTTGGGGAGATGCGAAGATTAGCTCAGGATAGGAAAGAGTGGAGGTGTGTTTCAAATGCAAACAATTTAAATGATCACTCTTGCACTTATATCTTCCTATTTATTGATATTAGGATTTTAATACAAGATTGTGTTTGATAATAATTTAAAACAGTTTACATTGAAACCACTCTTTCTTTCTTCTGCTTTTCGATTTAATTTTGCTCCAATTCACCATCATGTCCCTGCTAAATATTTTTTTTTACTATTCCAAGAAGCCACATCCTTCAATATACATACACATACTGCTATTGTACCTTATATTTTTTACATTATTAAAAACTCTTATCCTTGTTCCAGTTAAAGTAAGTATAAAAGGCAAGACCTAAAATTGTTATTACTTTAAACAATTGCAATGTATTCGTTTTAACTTTTATACAAACAAATGTATTAAATTCAGCTGATACAAGTGTGTCGAACATACATACGCAAGGTGAGTATTATAGCAGTTTGATTTCAAGAAAGACAATTTACAATTGACGTTAAATAGTCATTCCTTCATATTCTGACACACCTCGAACATTACGTGACTCTGTTAGTAATTTATAATGACGGATGCTCACATGCTAATGCCTCTTCATAAAGATGAGAACAAAACGGCTTAATACCTAAGTGAACATAATTTACACATGGATATTTTACAAATAGCGTTCGCGACTACATGGTCGTTCTAAGTACATAAACACGTTTTAAAACAAGGTATCCTCATGAAATTCATGGCAAATAAAGGAGATGTAAAGGTGCATACTGACTTGCACTAAAGCCGCCATAGAGAGGATATTTTCTAGCTGCAGTTTTAACGGTTAAATTCGACATAGAGATGCTTCGACGTTAAAGATTATGTAGAGAGAGAATATGGTTTATCACGTCACTTTTTTAAACATAAATGACGACCGAGTACGTTTCCATCTTCTAATTTTCCATCCATTTTTTTTTATTTGTCATTATACAACTACCTCTTTCCAATCTCTTTTTTTACATCCTTTTTGCTTTTTTCTGTTATTGATCGGCTATGCTAAAAAACTTTTGGTTTGGTTTGGTTTGGTTTAGTTTAGTTTGATTAACAATTGGATTCAGGTTGTTCAAGAATAGATAGACTTATAATAGAACACTGACACTGAAGACCGATACTCCTGGATTAGGGCAATTTTAATACCGAATTGGCTTTAACTATTGCATTAAATAATTACTAAACTCCAGAAAATACGACTTTATTTCGAGCGGACGGATGGCGAATATTGGTTTAGTTTAGTTAAAAACTTAGACGCCTGCACCATACAAAACTGCAGAGAGGAATTACAAAACAAAGCAAACACAAACGCATATGCAATACATATACTGCTGATAATTTGTCGAAATGGCAATTTTCGGATTATCGGTTGCCACTGACAGGTTAGCTTCTGAACCCGCTTGAAATGACTTCTTTTAGACGTATCAACCATGGGTCACATGTCGCGCGTAACGCTGTAACGCGTGACGTTACACTTTTCGGTTTTATACCCTAATAAATTTCTTTCCTACCGTTGATAAAGAAGTTTCACTTCAAAAAAAAAAAACTTTTGACTGTTTCATTCCCACCAGCTACTCCTGTTAGTGGGTGAGAAATACTTCCTAATTGCGCCGTAGGGTAGGAAGAAGGACGAAATGAAGACAAAAGGGAGTGAAATATTATCTGTGGAATATTATTACCCCAGCATTTGTCTAAGTGATCCAAGGAAACCACTTAAAAACCTAGACCAGGCAAACGAACCCAGAATTGAACCGGTGTCCTACCGAATGCTAAGCAACGGTTTCGACCTCTAGGTCATACCACTCAGTTATGCTTTGCGCGCTTGATTTATGTACAAAAAGGATTAGTGAGTCCAAGGTGAAATCCTATGCACAAGGACACTATATGCCTCTTGCTGGTTTCTTATCATTTGTAATCATCGAAGTATTTTTAAGACCTCTTGATCGAACGGTCATTTTGACGTTTTTAGAGGCATTTATAAAGGGCTTATTAATATTGGACGCTCGTAGCTTCAGAACCTCAACGAATCTCAAGTGGCAAACATGCTGAGGAACCTTCAATTGTCCGCCCCTACAGTGAGAAACAGCCACTGTGGAATTACATCCTTCAAATTTTTCCTTATTGGGATATTTGTTTTCTCTAAAATTGGATACCTATGTAATAAGATATCAAATAATATGTTTTCAGTATTTCAAAAAAGATAATAAAAACTACGATTAATATTGAAATACCTTGCCCATGTCAGTCTATCATACTTAGGCGATGTTTTTAATTACTACATTTACAAGTAAAAGCAATCACAAAAATTTTTACGGTTTTTGAGTCTTAATAAACGTACGCATATGTGTATAGTTTGCTTTTTTTAATCCGAAAACCCATAAAATCTAATTCAAATGAATTTCACTGGCGCCTAACTAATTATAGCTACTGAGTTGACCTCTGATGTGTACAAACCACTGAAAACGTTGGAGAACGTTTTTTTATGTTTTCTTGATTAATTAATGTTGTTTAGCTTAAGCTGCTAATAAAAGAATCGTTGGCTTGTATTCTTCGAGGATAACAGGGTCTTAGAGACTACAATCGATCTAACTAATGGAAATTGTTTAACGATTAAAGCAAATAAAGACGATTCTCGCTTGGAGTTTTACTGCGTTTTTTCTTTTTTGTCATATAAATTGATGTTTTATTCTAATGCCTAGCAATTTGATTTATATTAAATAAAAAAAAACTGTACCTAGTAACGAAAAAAACTTCACTGATTTTGATGGATTTTAACTTGCCACTACAATGTAATAGGTCCTTTTATAGGTTTATAATAAGGACGAGTGCACAATAATGATTCTTTCACAATTAAATCATTTAAAAGATGCTTCATCATAATTAGCGATATATCTCATGGATGGTGTTAAAATGTGAAATGTTTTTTCGGGTGACTTACTGTAATTATCGCCGGGGCATACTTTGCAGCAGCGCCCAGGGGCTAAAACTGGTTCATCGCAACTTGGAATGGGGCACTCTTTCTTTATATTTCTGCATTGAACCCTCGCCACAATTCTTCGCTTTTTGTGAAACTGAAACAAAAATACTAATCAAAACGAAATATGAATTTCAATGAAGTGTTTGATGTCAAATGTGTATGGGCTTTTTTGGGTACTCATCACAGGGATCTTTCCAACTGATTCTGAGTGCATGGCGTCAGTTGTCAAATGCACGTATAAGTATTAACCTTGCCACGTCCTTAACAGACGAAGGCACACCCCGTATATGTGCTACACAAGTTTGAGAACAGTCTCTTTTGCCATTTATGTTTACAAATGCAAGGGAACTGGTTGCATTTGCTCCATCACTGAAAGATATTCGCAGGCGGTTCAGAAACGTACATAATTGGTATGAGATTATTGCTAGTACGTGATCAAAATATCATCGGCCTTCTGAAGGTTTTACAAACATCTTTTGTTACAGTTAATACGAGAACAGTTCGAAAAACAACTGGAAAGTTTATTACTTAGTTTCCAGTTATTTTAACATTTTGCAAGACTAAACACTTCCGAAGCAAATATTCATAAGCACCTTTTAATTTTTAAGTCCCGTTCACACCTCCAAATTTTACTAGTTACTATAGTTTTTGGGGCTGCGACATGGTAGCGGGTAAGGAACGAGGTGGATGAAGGAAAGAAGGCGGGGAAAGCTTCCTATGAAGGAGAGCCTAGACATAAATTTTCGTGAAGTAGTCGTAAAACGTTTACATCATATAATTCACAATTATTCTTAAAGAAACATCAGGAAAAGACTATGAAAAGAAAACAAAAGTAAATAGTGAATTTTTGCGAAAGCGATGCAGAAGCGGAAGTGTAAAGATTTTAGGTGATTCTTTAATGCAGTGGCCATGCGCCCTTTTCGATAATGTTTTATTACAGTTTTGCATTTAGAACTTGCATCGTTAATATCAACAAAATAATTCCAAATGGAACTTTTTCTGGCTTCAAAATTGCACTTTTAAATTAAAATTTACACCACTGATCAAACACTATACAAAATAAATAAACGCTAGAACTGTATTAGTATTTTCGCGATGAAATTATTAGGAAAACTGGCTAAGGGGTAGCTGAAAGTTCTGGACGTCTTTAGATTAAAGTAGGGAACTAAAAAGAGAATAAAATTTGGAAAATATCAACATACGAAATACTACGCCCTTCCCTGCATCTAATACTAATAATATAACCAAAATAGCTACATTTTGTAGAATAACCTCAAATTGGGTTTTTTGTTTCCACATATTCCTCATTGAGGGAATCATCTGCAACCCCCTGCTCTCCTCCTCCCGTTGATACTCGCCGATATGCCTCAGACATCTCAAGCCAAATTTTTCGTTCAGTTATTACCGATATTTTTAGCCAAAAAGCATTTGAACCATGCTATATCACAATGTGCGAATGAAAGTTTGTAAGGAGGTGTTTATTCTAATTTTGTATTATGCGAATAAAGTCTTTCGCGTATTGAATGCCCCGCGTAGGTCAATGAGATAGTAACTTTATCGACGGCGTGGCGCAATTGGAAGCAAATCTTGATGATTGACTTACCGGGACACATTCGCATTTCATGCAGTACAACACCCCAATCGGAACTCCAAGGTCTGGCACCCACTGCGATCCAAGTTCTTTTACTTCTTTTCCAAATACGCATTCTGAAACACAAAAAGGAAACGTTTGTGTAAAACTAAGGATGTAAGATACGAGAAAAAAAATTACAATCGTCCTACTGTTCAATGTAATTATCTTAGTGACCTTAAAGAGTAAATTAATACAAATAGTTCTATGTATTGGAACTTTAAACTGCCTGGTGAACAAAAGAAGAAAGAATTTTATCGCTTCGTAGCCAAATTACAAAAATGTACATCTCATATTTATGTCATGGCCGTCTTGTGTATACCATTCAGTTACAGTTTATATAGTTTTTTTATTTAAATTGCAGAGTACACTAAACTGTGCATGCAGATGCTTCACTATCAGATCTTCGATAAAGGAAAAACAGTTCCAATTTTAATTTCTTTGACACGTTTAATAGTTGAAGTTCTTAGTGAAGCAATATTGCAACCAAGAATTCAAAAATTTAATAAAACATAAAAAACATCAATCTATAATAATTCATTAACTTCGATTGATAAATAATTGTCGATATGTCTGATACGTCCGTTTTTCTCATAAAATTGTTTTAAGTGGGAATCTTGGTAAAGTAATAAATCATAATGTCGATGAGCGGCGCTCTTTACAGTAGCACTCAAATGTATTTACGTAAGAGTTCTAGAAGGTCGTAACCATTTTTTATTATTTATTATATTTTTCTGATTGAAGACTTGAAGAGGGTTAATAATAAGACCTACAAAATTGCAGTTCATTCATTTTCATGCTGCATGGAAGAAATATGCCCAAATTTAATAGACAAACGGGATTCGTATATTAAGAAATCAATAATTAATAATTCTTATGTGGTTGTACTATCGTGTTTTAATACTCATTTCCAAGTTATGTCTCGAGGTGGTACCCACCTTCCCTGTTGAGACTGATCGGGTGTTTGTGTTTTCCTGATGACCATGGGGCTCTCTATGGCTAGCATTTTTGTCTGGTCGATTTGAATGTCTTGTGACCCGAAACTGTTCTATCAAGGCTGATTTGCTGTAATGTTTCAGTCTAACAGACCTCTAATGTTTTTTCATCCTTGTTACGATCAATCTACCTGCTTCTCCGATATAGACCTTTCCACAGGAGCATGATATCCGGTAGGCTCTCAATTTCCAGCGGAATAAAACCCTTCACTCTCGCAGGATGGTTTGTAATAAGTTTATCACAAGTGTTGAAGATTGTCTTGACGCCTTCCTTCTGCAGAATTCAGCTGATTTTGTCCGTGACTCCTTTGATGAATGGTAGACAGGCTGTGGACTTCGACTTTTCTTCGGTGGTCATGAATTCCGATCTGTGAGGTTGTAGATATTTCCATATTGTGCGAAGTTCCTTGTCTAAAGATGCTGGTTCTGAAATAGCGACGGCCCCATGCACCAAAGATATCGGTTTGTATTTCTGATGCAAAGAAAATGTGTTTCTATGGCAACCGAGAGATTATACGATCTCTTTGTATAAACTGCCCGAACCTTAATTACGGGTGTACATTATAACTTACGATCATACATATGTATTCGCATATTGTAGACACATAAGTGCAAAGTATATGTACAAATATGTAAGCATGGGCATGTCGAAGGTTATAAGAGGGGTGAAGGTGGGGTCGTGTGCATTTTCCTTACAATGGGTGTACGCCCACTGGAAAGGTTGACAATCGGCATTCTAAACAATTTATGAGTTTACTATACCTAACATATATGTATTACGTTCATCTATCCTTATTAATAAAGGCGAGTGGTTTTACGATTTAATTACGATAACTACTCAAAAAGCCGCTTACTTGCCGGATAGATTTTTATCGAATTGTTTGAGTTTTATTCCTAACGACTCTTGATCTTTAATCATCAATAACAATTATTATTATATTCCAAGTTGATATCCATTTATTAAAAGCTTCAACGATCACAACTTGTGCGTATTCTCTTGCCACTGAGACGAGTGTTCGTTGCGCACAAGCAGGAGGAAGTTTCTCCATCTCCTTCATCGTAAAGTAAGCCACAGTTTCGCATAATTTGCATTAACGACTGATGCTATGCAATTTTGCTTCAGTGAATGAAGTTGTATGAATCTGCTAGTTTACTGCATCTAGATCTTGACTATGACACCGGTGCTTCCCTTTAAGAAATTTTAATACCTTCTTGACATTATTAAAAAAAAACAATTGGGTACTTGACCTCTATCGTTTTCTCTTTGGTTTTCAACAATTACTGGCCGTGCTCTTAGAATTATTAGATATCTACTTCCTTGATGGTTTTACGCGGTTGCTTGTTTAAAGTCTCGTCTATGCTGAGACTTACATCTTCCATCTCAATTTGGCTGATTTGAAAAGGGCTGCAATTATTTATCCAATGCAATATGCAGTTGTGGTGAACTTTGTCACAAATTCTGGTGAAACATCATACGTTATTTATAATATTATATATAGACTTATAATTAGACAACTTCAACCAGGGAACGAGTACTTTGCGACCTTTACAATTATTGAAAATGACCTTTTCATACACCTGCGCCATATTGATGAACTGAATTGAATTATAATATTTTTCCATAATAATTCAAAAATCACTTGAGTTAGGTATTTATGTACGCCGATCATTCCTAAAGTGTGGTACGTGGTGCAGCACCACTGCGTCAGCTCAACGAGCAGCTCAAATTCTTTCGATGGTGAAAAATGAGAAGAAACTTCGTTGCTTTTGATAATAAAGCCCCAGATTTTGATAATCCCCACTAAATATAATTTTTGTCTCTTTATCTCTCGATATACTTAGTTATTTTGATTGTCTTATTGTACTTACACGATTTCGTTTTCTTATTACCTACTTTTACAATGTTTATTTCTTACAGGAAGTGCTCAGTGAAACAAATATTGGACAACTTATTACAGAACCATTGTTACGTTATTTACGTTACGCATATACAAATTGTAAGTAATGTAATATTTGGATTCATCTTTTCAAAAAAAAAAAGTTGGAATTGTTTGAATGAATGAATCGAGTTCAATTCGTAGTCGAAACAGCGTCAGATTCGGGCAACGAAATGAAGAGACAAGTTGTCTAGCACAAGACATAGTAGGTACGTACGTACAATTAGAAAGGTCAGAGCAAAATTAAATGTCTACTTATAAATAGACAATATGTATGTCTCTTTGTTTGTATGCAATACGAACTCGCATACCTAACTATAATACTCTATATATATTTTATTGTAGCTGTTGTATCATATTTAGACAGTCAGTGCTCTAACTGGATTACGCCCCGAGCGTTTTAAGAAAATACAAAACGCATGAGTCAGTCAATGTATTTTTGCAGTTATAAAGAGGTTACTTGGTTACATAATTTTTTTTGTATTATAAAGAGTGATTTAGAGAGAATCGTTTGATGTTTTACCGCCGAAACATGACAGGATGGTACAAAAATGATTAAATAATTTTTTTATAGAATGTTTTAAAAGGCGATGAAAACAATTTGGCTATACATAATCTACAGTCAATGTATCTCCTAGATTTTTATTTCGCTTATTCGTTTTGCACTCTNTTATACGATCTCTTTGTATAAACTGCCCGAACCTTAATTACGGGTGTACATTATAACTTACGATCATACATATGTATTCGCATATTGTAGACACATAAGTGCAAAGTATATGTACAAATATGTAAGCATGGGCATGTCGAAGGTTATAAGAGGGGTGAAGGTGGGGTCGTGTGCATTTTCCTTACAATGGGTGTACGCCCACTGGAAAGGTTGACAATCGGCATTCTAAACAATTTATGAGTTTACTATACCTAACATATATGTATTACATTCATCTATCCTTATTAATAAAGGCGAGTGGTTTTACGATTTAATTACGATAACTACTCAAAAAGCCGCTTACTTGCCGGATAGATTTTTATCGAATTGTTTGAGTTTTATTCCTAACGACTCTTGATCTTTAATCATCAATAACAATTATTATTATATTCCAAGTTGATATCCATTTATTAAAAGCTTCAACGATCACAACTTGTGCGTATTCTCTTGCCACTGAGACGAGTGTTCGTTGCGCACAAGCAGGAGGAAGTTTCTCCATCTCCTTCATCGTAAAGTAAGCCACAGTTTCGCATAATTTGCATTAACGACTGATGCTATGCAATTTTGCTTCAGTGAATGAAGTTGTATGAATCTGCTAGTTTACTGCATCTAGATCTTGACTATGACACCGGTGCTTCCCTTTAAGAAATTTTAATACCTTCTTGACATTATTAAAAAAAAACAATTGGGTACTTGACCTCTATCGTTTTCTCTTTGGTTTTCAACAATTACTGGCCGTGCTCTTAGAATTATTAGATATCTACTTCCTTGATGGTTTTACGCGGTTGCTTGTTTAAAGTCTCGTCTATGCTGAGACTTACATCTTCCATCTCAATTTGGCTGATTTGAAAAGGGCTGCAATTATTTATCCAATGCAATATGCAGTTGTGGTGAACTTTGTCACAAATTCTGGTGAAACATCATACGTTATTTATAATATTATATATAGACTTATAATTAGACAACTTCAACCAGGGAACGAGTACTTTGCGACCTTTACAATTATTGAAAATGACCTTTTCATACACCTGCGCCATATTGATGAACTGAATTGAATTATAATATTTTTCCATAATAATTCAAAAATCACTTGAGTTAGGTATTTATGTACGCCGATCATTCCTAAAGTGTGGTACGTGGTGCAGCACCACTGCGTCAGCTCAACGAGCAGCTCAAATTCTTTCGATGGTGAAAAATGAGAAGAAACTTCGTTGCTTTTGATAATAAAGCCCCAGATTTTGATAATCCCCACTAAATATAATTTTTGTCTCTTTATCTCTCGATATACTTAGTTATTTTGATTGTCTTATTGTACTTACACGATTTCGTTTTCTTATTACCTACTTTTACAATGTTTATTTCTTACAGGAAGTGCTCAGTGAAACAAATATTGGACAACTTATTACAGAACCATTGTTACGTTATTTACGTTACGC